CTTTCCAATGCTTACTCTGTTTCCAACCTCCACTCTTTTCCTGGACGGGAGAGCCCTCGGAGGTTCCAGCTGTGGACTACTGGTTCAGAGCAAGAGAGTGTGGCACTCAGCTCACATCCACCTCCAGCGTGCTGTGCGCAGGCACAAGACCTTCGCAGATGCCCTTCGCTCCAACACCCCCACATACCAACCAGGGGATAAGGTATGGCTGTCCACCCGGGATCTGCGCCTCCGCCAGCCGTGCAGAAAGCGGAGTCCCCGCTATATTGGTCCGTTCCCCATACAGAGGCAGATCAATGAAGTCACCTACCTGCTACAGCTTCCGCCCAGGTACCGCATTCACCCTACCTTCCATTTTTCCCTTCTTAAACCATTCTCTCAATCTGCATCAGGACCCCCCGAGCTGGAAGCACCTCCTCCTCCAGAAATCCTGGATCAGCCATCCATCTACCTGGTTCAGGACATTCTGCTACTAACCTGTCTGTACTTACACTCAGATGCTCCAGTGCTCTTCCGATCCTGTTCTCCTCGACTCCTGCATGAATCCCGATTACCCTATCGCAGACTCAACACCAGTTACTTCACATAAGAACCCAAGAACCATTCCTCGTGTCAATACTCACCTTTCAAGTCATTACTACCTGCAGCTCATTCAATAAACTGACCTGTTATTGCACTAATCCCTTGTCTCCGGCCTGTGTTGTGACACTAGGAGTGTGATATTGCGTTTATACAACAAGTGTAAATAAATGAGAAACAACCAAATAAATGAGAAACACATTTTGTATGCAGAACTACTTCCTGCCACCACGGATTCAAATCTCAGTTTGACAGCTGAGCTCAAGCCTCCCTTACTAATTTGAAAACGTCACTTTAGAACTAGTAATGGATGAACATTGAGTTGCTTCATTAAAAGCTTGTTGTATTAAAAGCTCACTGTATTATGAGAGAGAGATTGACTGAGCGAGTGTGATTACCTGCATCTGATACAGCATTCATTCTTCAGCTCAATCTCATATTCACAATAAAACAAAATGATATCTTTGACATACTATCCTTTCATCTGTTAAGGGGATTTCCGATGATAACACTGATCAGTGCATCTGTTGGCTGCATCTTACAAGGGCTGCATCTGAAACCGCATTCTTCCCTGCTATATAGTAGGTGAAAAACAGTATGTGACAAAAAAGTATGTCTGAATTCACAGTACTTATGAAAGAGCAAAAAAAAAGTACACGGATGACCTATTACTTCCGGTGTGATTCTGATGTGTGCATACAATCAAATAACTTATATTGACTTAAAAGCATCAGAGTTTCGCCTTTTGGCTTCTATACTCTTTGATACGATGGACACTTTACTATCCCATGAAGCCACGGGAGGGGATTTATGAATGACAGTGACGCAACGCAACTGATGATGGTAGGTCACGTGACATTGGCAAAATGGTAAATGCAGTACGTCCAGATTACATTCATACTACGCACGTTCATACTATATAGATGTTAATAATGATGTTAATAATGAGAATTGGACCTTGAAAAGAAGTGTTACCGAAAATGCTTCATGTATTATTTGGTTGTGGTCAATGACTGTGTGTTTGATAAAACTCTGTTATTCTGGTGCACATCCATCTGGTGCTTAGTATAACCAAATAGACCAAAGCCAACATGGACAGGTTGTGGGGCAATGCCGTCATCCTCAAAAACCATCAACACATTTACTTTTGTATAATTTCAGTGCTGTGTCGGTTTGGCAACTAAATCAGAAAGGAACCCGACTAGAATCCTTCAGCAAACACAGCCGAGAATCACTGTTGTGCTGAAGGCTATTGGTAAAATATATGCCTATCATAAAGCATAAAGCAATTTTATTTTTCTCATGCTTTGTCGTGTAATAAATAAATGAACAATATTAACAATAGAAATTCTTTAGTATTCTGACAGGAACAGCAGACACTGAGCTTGTTCAGCTTGACATTCAGCTTTAATGTTCTGTTTTTCTCCAGTCTCTGATCCTTTCCATCATTTTGTTTGATGTGATCCTATGACAACATCTAATTTTACATTTGTATCGCATTTAACAAGCTACTAGATGTTGACAGTGCTGTAGTTAGAACTGAATGTACTATCACTGCTCTTTTCTTCTCATTTCTAATTGGTTCCTTTCCTTGGCTGGCTTCCAAGATTAATGTATATGCTTACAGTGCTGGTACGATAATCAGAAAACTGTGATCCCTTCATTCATTACTGATGAACAACAAATCAAGCCAAAAAAAATAAGGCCTGTACATTTAAAACTGTTTTAAATGCATTGTATTGCCAGTTGTTCACAGGTCTTTATTCTTACTGTACACCATCACGTTAACCGGAGTGACCTTCAACAATTCAAAAATGCTCTTGATGTCACAGTATAGGCACTTAATAAATTGATGCATGAATTATTAAAGACTCTATGAGATCAAAACTGAACTTATGTGCCCATATGTGTCATCGCTACACTACTATTCAAAAGTTTCAGTAAGATTTTTTAAAGACGTCTCTTATGCTCATAAAGTCTGATTTCATTTGAAAAACAGTAATTTAAAAAGGTATTATTATCATCATCTTTCCTATGTGAATATCTGTTTAAATGTAATTTATTGCTGTGATCAAAGCTGTATTTTCAGCATCATTACTCCAGTCTTCAGTGTCACATGATCTTCAGAAATCATTCTAATATGCTGATTTGCTGCTCAAGAAACATTTCTGATTAGTATCAATGTTGAAAACAGTTGTGCTGCTTCAAATGTTATATGTTATTTTTTTTTAAGCAGATGATTTAAAATCTACAATCTTTACAAAGATGGATCACAAATAATGAAAGAGAAAGAGCTACACCGTCCACTGCAACTTAACAAATGTACAGTATATTAATATTTCAGAAGTACTTGGTGCATTGTCCCTCGTGTTGAATTTATGTTTTCATACAGGTACATAAAAAATGTAATTCCCTGAATAGCCCAGAACTATTTGAAGTGAGACAAGCATCTGAATGTCCAGTATAAACCACAGTTTAAACCCAGACTTTATAATCTCTAATTTATCAAAAGTTGATCAGCAGTGTTTGCTAAATATATTCTAAATCTGTAAACTACAACATTATATACACAGCACCTTTTCAGACAAATCTAGATTTACTGCACTGCACCCACCGTTCATAACACAGATATCAAAACTAAGTCTTTCTTTCTTTTTCTTTCTTTCTTTGGACATTTACTGCCCTCTTGTGTCTTAAACATGTATCTGCATGCACACCTACTGTACACATAGGTATGTAGTTAATTTTTTTCATCTTCTTCTTATTATAACATTATTTATTTTACTCCATAAATGCAACCACTTCATTGCATGTATATTATTGCTACTTTTTGCATGTATATTATTGCTACTATTGAGCTTGGGACAGCAGTAAATATCACATTCAAACTGCACAAAAACTACCAAAACACTTCACAGAGTGAAGTGACACTTTCTACTGTTAGAATTCACTGCAGTTAATGTTACATGGACCATGTTTACATTAAAGTGCAAGGTTCCTATTCCTCATTTGTCCACTTCTGTATAGATGCAGTGAAGCTGAAAAACTAACACCTGTGTAAGTGTTCAGCTACATCTAATTGTTCTGAAATTATTTCATCTTTTAGAATTATTTCAGTATGGTATTACTGTGGAAGCATAGCAAATCACTGTCTTACTCAGTTTTGTATTATGTTAGGTTTTAATCTCAAGTTTAAGTGTTTTGAATAGAGAAAATGTGCAAATTTGCCTGTAGGTACAGAGAGTTTTGGTGATGTTTGTGGCCGAGTGAGAAATGAATTTATGTAATGTGAAAGATGTAATAACTGAATGCATTTTTGTACCAAAGCAATGATAAATGATAGATGCTGTTGTGCTCACTCTGTGAAGAGTTTTGAAAAAATGACCCAAGTATTGAAAAATTGGTCCTAGCGAATTGATCCTAATGACAGAAGAAAAAAAAAACCTTAAGCTGTATAGCCGTATGCAATGTATTATACTGTAATCAGGTTTATGAAAAAAAAGTTTTCAAAATATATTAAGCAAATGTGAATAGCATATACATACGGTGGGGCTCCTGTGAAGGTGTGATAACATGTTTCTACACAAGTTTGCTGTTACCTCAGAAAACTGCTGAAAACTGTTAGCGCTCACACTTGACCTTTAAGTTAAGTAGCAGCACTCAGTATCCTGTGAGTGAAGGCTGTTAAAGCAGGTGTAAGTGTGACGGAGTTAGTCATGTCTGAATAAACTCATCCCTCAGTTAAACTCAAATCATATTTACAGTATCAAACTTACTTACAATGAAAGTGTTTTTTCTGGTTACCTAGTTTACACACATGTTAGGTGGTCATGACATTTTGAGTTCGAGACTCATATTAAACGTGCATTTAGTAGTTTGGCGCTTTAAAATGTTGAAATGCTGTTACTTAATGTCGAGACACGGCTGCCGCCTCTGTTGATACGCTAGTACCCTAGTGTTGTTTGGTGACGTGAAAAAGCAAAGGCTGGTGTCGAAATGAAGCCTCTGAAGCTCTGCTTTCTCAGATAGTATCAGGAAAACACCAAACCATACACAAAAATAATTCAAAAGTACAAAAAATCTGCAGAAACTACACAAAGAAAAAACCTCTCTATTGATAGATAAACCAAGCTTTTCAGGTACACTACACTCCTCACAATTCAACCAACCAGACTGTGCACCTTTAACATATAGATAACCCACTTGAAAGTTTTATTTAATTTTTATTGTATTTTGTAATATATGTGTGTAATATAGATACAGTATACATATTAACAATTTAATTTTACTGATAGATGGTTACTGAAAGCTGTAAGTATATATGTGACCCTGGAGCACGTTTTTTTGCACCCTCAGATTCCAGATTTTCAAATAGTTGTATCTCGGCCAAATATTGTCCTACCTTGACAAATGTACACTTATGACTGGTTTTGTGGTCCAGGGTCACATATGGTTGTAAGTTTGTATATCAGAATAGTGAGCAGAGTAGAGCTGTGATATTTTGAGACCGTTACACCACCTCACCACTCAGACTGTAACATCTCTATATCTAGACTGACTCAAGAAGAGAAACAGGAAGTTGAAATGAAAACAGGAAAATGCTGGACAGCTCTGGACGGGCAGATCACAGCCATTCACATCAGTTTCTGGTGGAACAATTTGCCCACATCCTGTCTCTAACTTAGTGTGAGGTTTTTGTTTAGTTGAGAAACTGTGTCACGTGATTGTTAGAAAGCCTCTTGTTTTGTGCAAATGTGGAAGGTGAAGAAACAACAAAATGGAATTTTTATTTTTAGAAAATGCCGAAGAGGAGATTTAGGATATTTGGTGGGCAGACACAACTTCAGACAGATCCTCACCCTTAACTCTGCATGTCTATAACAAGTGCGTTTGCTGTTCTCCAGACCACCGTATGGATCTAATACAGTTATTTCCCCGTCTTTGCGACGCTCTGTATGGCTTTGATCCAGTCATTGCGCTCGTCGGCTGTAGCTGCCTGCAGATAGTAGTGTATCTCATCTGACGTGATGATCTCAAAGAGATTCCCATCCACCTCCTGTCTCTTGGCTGCAGGAGAAACATTTCAATGAAATCAATCAATTCTACATTGTATAAATGCTTAACAATTTAAATATCATTATTATTGTTAGGGGTCAAGCGCTAAAGGTGTCAACTCTTAGGTCTCTGAACCACCAGTTCAAAAATGCACTTTTCTTTTTGTTATAACTTCTCAACACTTTGTCCTAAAAACAAAATTCTTAGTTGATCTGATTACACTTCTCGTGCATTTAGACCGCAGGCATTACAGTAGTCACCATTTTGAAATGTAAAATGTGTTTAGTTGTATTATTTAGATGGACCGGTCGTCATACCATCAGGCACGTATTCCACTGCCGTCACAACTGAGCCACGCAGATGAATGGAGCCGAGAGGATCGTCCTCACCCTTACAGAGACACACAGATGATCCAAAACTGTTTTAATATTACATGAAAAACAAACAAATCTTCAGAGATGCCAGGGACTTACTTTGGTGGGATCATAGTAGTGGATATAAGCAGGATCATCTCTGAGGATAAACTTTCGGACTTTCCAATTCTTTCGCCGGTGACCCTGTGTAGGAAAAAGAAATGTCTAAGAACATCTAATCTCTTATATGCTTTTCACAAGAAGAAAATAATTCAGGAGCATTAAAACCAATGCCTGTTAAATCAGACAAATTTATTTTTTCATTTTGGGTTGAAACATGTGCTTAACATCACAGGTTTTGCGAGACTCACTTGTGTAATCACACATTCAACCAGCATTGCGAGAAGATTGGCGTTCCTTCATCATGTGTCTGTTCAGTGCTCACCTGCTTCAGCAAACAGCCCTGTTTGATTATGGCCCCTCTGAACTCCTCCTTCATGATCACATCCTCATCACTGGAGTAGCCCTCACAAAAGAAACCACTATCTGCCTGCAGATCAACACACATGCACACCCTCAACAACAGCTCTCGCCATTCGTTCGTGCATATCCTATACATGATGTGCAATGTCACCTACAATGGAAAATGTAGTATAGCTCTATTCCAAATCCAAATGCATTTCATAGCATGCTTTACTTAGGCTCTTCTGAGAAGAGCACGGGAGACTTCACTCAATTTATTTCAGTTTCACTTTAGCACATTGCTAAGAAAAAACAAATTTGTTTGAAATAATGATTATCTAGCGTAGCGTTAGTTCTGGCAGGTCACGTTAGTCAAGCTCGCATCAGCTGACTCTCAGCTGATCCCCATCAACCTATAGGAATACAACACCTATCTAAGCACTCATATATAAGGTCCATCAGTATTATCAGCAGTTTTCGCATTGCTCAATAGCTAATTACCCTCCTCCATCCCCAACTCCTCCTCTGTCAGTCAGAATTCAGCCTTCTGCTCCTCCTCTGTCAGTCGGGATTCAGCCTTCTGGTTCTCCTTTGAATCAGACTAATTCTAAAATGTGTACATAAAATTATTGTACTTTAACAATATCTGCAATACATTATGTTGGTTCTGTTCTGTATACCCTGGGGGGTTATCGCGGCTCTCCCTGCTCTCATCTATGCTAGGCTGCATGGATGCGCAGGGAGTTCTTGCCCAGAACAGAACCATACCGCCAATCCAAACTGTATGCTAATTGTCAATCATCTTTGACGATAGTGGTCCTGACAGAAATATATTTATAATATACTTTACGCTGATATTTAAGTTTATATTTCTTTTCTGCAAAGAAACAGACCTTAGTGTCACAGGAGTGCTTATGATGTCTTAAAATACTTCCTATGTAGGCAGCTCACTATGTATCATATCATGATGATGCAACATTTTTCAATAATAATCAAGTTTGTTATATAATTGATGAATACTGCAACATTGACAATTGAGTTGAATAGTGACACAGTCAGGGCCGTTTCTAGCCAATTTGACGCCCTAGGCGCCCTATATATATAATTCTTTTCAGACACCAGTTGCTTGTCACATTCAAATTGGTTGTCATAGTAACGACACTAGTTTGTGGAGATTCAGTGCATTGAGTTCCACAAATCTGAATGCATTATTTGTAAATTGACTGTTAAGATAAACATTTTGCACAATTTAGTATCTGTAATATCATTGTGTTGCCACTAGATGCCTGCATAGCCCTATGTAACAATCCCTAGTGGCTAAGACATTGCACATAATTTACACATAAATCACACATAAATAAATTTTATTACATTTTGATTTGGATACTATATACTATACTACTACATATTGTTTAGATATTATCAATGGCTACTTTTTTGTCATTATCTATTTTTTGTTCAATTTTTTTGTTGTTGTTTCTTGAAACATTGATTTAAAGTGTCAGTTATTGCATTATTATTTCAGTCAAACCTATAAAACCCCTTTGTTACCCCAAACTACATATAAAAGCTTTATCAGTGGCATAAAAGTAACCAATGCAGCTACTTAATCATTTGCTACTCATTAACGCGTTAACATCCCCTTTAAATAACGTGACGCTCTGTGACGCTGCTCCCATTAAGCGCTGTTGGAAATGAATGAATTGATTCAGCATTTCGACACCTCCGTAAGAATGCATTTAACTCGACAAAGCGGTCTAATAAAGGATGCATTGATCTCATGAATTAGCGAATTTTACATGGGAATATTACATGACACGCTGATCCTTTAGATCCTTTAACAATGCATTGGCGCAAAAAACGCACACCATTTGGACAACATTGATTTAAAGTGTCAGTTATTGCATTATTATTTCAGTCAAACATATAAAACCCCTTTGCTACCCCAAACTACATATAAAAGCATGATCTAGTGGCATACAGGCATCGTCAGATTGACAGCACTCTAGCCCAATAATGTTGGGGGATCCAGTGGGGGCGGCAGTCACATTTCAGGGTGACTGTGCCACTCTTTATCACAACCCTGCTAAAAGTGCCAGTACGTGCGCTCATTGGCGCCCCTTCAGCTGGTGGCGCCCTAGGCGACCGCCTAGCTCGCCTATGCCTAGAAACGGCCCTGGACACAGTTGTCTTTGTAGAGTTGCTTTGCAGTCTGCATTATTGACTCTGTTATTTTCCTGTTTATCACTGTGAAGCTACTTTGTATTGTATACAGCGTTGTAGAAATAAAGGTGAGTTGACTTTTGGAATAGAGCCAATAATTAACTGTGCCCTGTTAACTCACAAAGTAATAAAGAGCCTCGGTTTGGTCCAGGAAAACACATTCCGCTCCTTTCTCTGCGCCGTCTTTGGACACGTCTCCAGCGGGCAGCAGGAATCCCTCGTTCAGCAGTCCGGTGGCCAGCATCAGTCCCTCGGGTCTGTTTCTGGCCTTCCCTTCAGAAATCAGCCAGTCGATCACTGTGTTTCCTACCAGCGGATCCACCAGAAGACATTTACAGGTCGACAAAACTCACAGATTAAAGAGATTAAATAGAGATGTTCCTCTAGGGAAAACACCTCGGTGCTGGGCCACGGCAATACTTCTCATTTATAGTAGTAGTAGTAAGACAGGTTTGGTCTAGTTCTTCATTTTACTGCTGGAGTCAGATGACGTATAAATCTCAATTTCGAGAAATTGACCCTTATGACTGGTTTTGTGGTCCAGGGTCACAAATGAATATCTTACCTGTGAAACAGTGATTGAACAGCCTTTTATCCTTCTCTACCTTCAGCTCTTTAACTCCATTGTCTTGATCTTTCATTAAAACATACAGTTCACTGCAGACAGACAGAACAAAGGCAATGTTTTGACACGTTTATAATTCACAGCAGGGTCTTTAAAACGTTATTTATCATCTGTTTCTAGCAGAATGCAGCCTCTCTCTTATTCAGTCATTGAAAACGAAGTTTTATTACTGAAATCACAGTGTAATACCTCAGGTTAACATTTTCCGGTAACCGAATGGATCGACGTGTTGACTTCCTGGCAAACTTCTTGCCTCCCTGTAAACAAGTGATGGCTCTCTTGAAATCTTTAACCCAAAGCTCTCTCTCCTCAAGGTGGGTCGCTTGGAAGAAATGGTCCTGGTTCTTAGCTGTACTGATCTTGAACACTAGCTGTTAAAAAAAAAAAGCATATGAAAGATATTCATGAAAAACTCTAGATACGTCAGCAGTATATTGGTATTAAAGATATGCGTGATTCCTTCACCGTTCTTTTAGTGAAGTCCTGGCACGGGCTGGTCAGAGTCGCACCCTTCAGAGGGATCATTCCCTTCGGACTGTTGTCTGTCTTCTTCTTGTAATACTCAATGGCATCATCTGCTAACACCACCCACACCACCTTCCATGAGTTGAGCACAGTCCCCTGCAAAACAAGAACGGTTCAGTGCTGTAGCTTCCTAAAATGGCCAACACAAATACTGAATACAAATGCAGTAGTAGTGTTGAGCTGCAAACAAATCCACAGCTAAAGGAAACATATTGCTTGATATAAAGGATTACATCAACCTTGCTTGAATTTCAGTACGCGAAAGAATTTCAGTGAAGTGGAAATATTCAATTTAGGCCATTTTCACTTCTGTATTTTAGCTCACACGCACAGTTGTGGGTTGAATTGGCCTATATTTTCAGATGCGCAAATCATTTCTGTTTGATTCTCAAAGACAAGAGTATTATGAAATGCTATTCCAAAACTATTTTTAGGGGTTCAATCCAAAATGTGTGGACAAAATGAAATGTATTAAGAGCCCGGTCTCATGAAAATGCGTATAAATAGTACGCCAAATAAAAACGAAAACTCGTGGTATTGATACGCAAAAATGGACTTTGGCGTGCATATGATACGCATGTGTTTGGCGTGCATATAATACACAGTTTTCGCGTGCATATGATACGAAATTTGTTGGCGTGCATATGATACGCAGTTTTCGCGTACATATGATACGCATCTACCCCACAACCCTAAATCTACCCATCGCATAGCATATACACGCCAAAGTCCATTTTTGTGTATCAATACCACGAGTTTTCGTTTTTATTTGGCGTACTATTTATACGCACTTTCATGAGATCGGGTTGGTATTAAACATGCTGCAATGACTGTCTTTTTGGAAAAGAAGGAGGATGTTTCCACTTCTATTCCCGAAATAGAACAACTTCATGGAAAAACATGACAAAACATCAGCACATGACATCAGTACTGTCATACACAGTATTGTCATGGTGCGTGTTCAAAAACCAAGATAGTACAGCCTGCCTTGTTACTTTTATGCTAATATAGCCTCAATTGTTCAGTGCCAGCACTGCAAAATATCGCCAATATTCTCAACTAGCCAAATGCTGTTTTGGGTTAATCTGAAGTCTCAGTTACAAAAAAAATATCTTTAATTTTGTCTATGTAGATTCACGACTTTCTAAAACACCCAGGTTAAAATGTTCAGTTTTGAACTGAAGATGGTGTTTGGATGAACACCGAAACATCTTGTCGTTTCTTTTCATGTAGTCCAGTGACTTTAAATAAAGAGTTTGTTTGGAATATCTTTAATTTTACTTGGCAGTAAAATTTCCTTTTAAGGTCACCAGTGATATTGACACTGACACATTTTACAGAAAACTTAATGCTCCATAACCCTGAAGCACATAATAGAAAAGCCACAGAATCACAGATAAATGGAAGATAGCACCCCAGTCTTACCTTCTTCACTAGGTATCCTTCTCTGATTGTTGTTGGTTCCATTGCTATGAAGTAAAACAGTGAGTCTCAGTCTACAGGGAGTGGTGAATGTAAGACCCATGCAGTTCAGCCGAATTCGTGTCTGACGTGTAACCTCAGTTGACAGTTATAGACACATTTTGATGAAAGGGAAGTTGCACACTCCCTGACAGGCAACTTCATGGTCAGCTAGTTTCCTCTGTGTTTTCAACCCACACACAAACGAGTCAGAGGGCAAACGATACGCTTGTGTTTAGAGATAACGAACCCATGGGCACCCATGATTATGAACCTCAGTTGACAGTTATAGACACATTTTGATGAAAGGGAAGTTGCACACTCCCTGACAGGCAACTTCATGGTCAGCTAGTTTCCTCTGTGTTTTCAACCCACACACAAACGATACGCTTGTGTTTAGAGATAACGAACCCATGGGCACCCATGATTATTTTATGCTTGTCAATGAAAGACAAATGACAAAGACAAAAAAAAATGTCCATTCTTGTCTTAATTTGAATGTGAAAATGTATATTATCATTGTATTTATTTGCTAGAACAGACATTTTCTTTTGCCTTTCCTTTCTAACAACCTCTATTTAACATCTGCAAAGAACCGTATTGTCTTAATAACGAGGCCCTTTACTGAACCTATTTTGGTGCAGCAATGAAACATTTATTTTGAAGCCTGCACTCGTGGGAATAATACTTCAACAAACTAATCACATTAGAAAAACAAAACTCTCACAGGAAGTTTAATGAAGATAGTTGAAGCTGTGTTTCAGAAGAGTAGTGCATTGCATGTTTGCGGTCACTGACCCGGCCTAGGATGTGTTTGAAGTTTACCAACAATAAAAAAGTAATGTTGTAACACCCATTTGAGAATTTAACACATTATCCAGTTGTTTATTGGATTATTTAATGATATGTATTTTTTTTAAATCAACCAAATGAAAGGTGTTTTTCACATGTGGTTTTGAAAGGAAGTGAGAGAGTTGAACCTCGGTACATGAGATAATACACTTTTATCTTCTATATATTACCTCATCTTCAGTGTCTTCAGATGCTGCTGAAAGTGGAAGCTAACCCAAATATTACAGACAAAATAGTCAAACTGAAGACGAACACAAAAAGTACTGAGGTGGAACTGTTATGACACAGTGATATATCAGATTGTGGTTATACCACTGTACTTGGTATTATGATACTAATATGCATTGTATTGTAATAAATGATTACCAAATCAAATACAGTGGTGTTTACATAGTAATGGTGTGATTTGTATTTTGATACCATGGTTTTGATTCTTGTTCATATAAGTCTACCATGTCATTTACACCATGCTGAAAAAATAAAATAAAAATAGAAACCATCACAGAATTTGTAATGGTTTTACTGGTTATAATGGGAGTTGTATTGGTTTTAATGGACACTGTAATGGTCCCTGTGGGTCTCTACTTGGGCCCGTTTCAATAAGGAGGTTCAACCAACTCTGAGTTGACTTACCCTGAGATAGGAAACTCTGAGTTTTCGGGTTCAGAACAGGGGTGTATTCCAGAAAGGAGGTTCAACAAACTCTGAGTTAAAACTTGAACTCTGAGTTAAAACTTGAACTCTGAGTTGACGTACCCTGAGATGGGAAACTCTGAGTTTTCGGGTTCAGAACAGGGGTGTATTCCAGAAAGGAGGTTCAACAAACTCTGAGTTAAAACTTGAACTCTGAGTTGTCGTACCCTGAGATGGGAAACTCTGAGTTTTCGGGTTCAGAACAGCTGAATTGAGTTAGTTCAATTGACTCTGAGTAGGTTGACTCCGAGTTTAGGAATCAATAATGCGCGGGACTCGAGGAAGTGGCAAGAAGCAGCAGCGAAATGTAGCTAAATTACTGACCTGTTCAGGGCTTCAAGCGCAGGTCAGTTTCATCTGTAAATAGGCTACTGTACTTTTGTCTTTGTTAATTTAGTTAAGTATTAAACTGATAGCAAATATTAGCATCTCATTATTATCCACAGTCAGAATACTGTATGTTAAAGGACATCATTATTATCTATTGTAAAGTTGCATTAATAAATTTAACAGCCAGATGTTCACATCGATTTATAGTAAAGGAGGGAGCTAGAGCAGACAACACCACAAAAAATATGAGTATTGCTGTTCAGTATTTTCCTATAAACATATTGCACTGATTTTGACATTTAGGCACTTTAGAAAATTTTAAAATATTTGTATGAAATATAGGTTTGTTAATCTCGGTTATTAAATTGATTTTTAAAGGGGTCATATGATGCTATTTTAAAGATCATTATTTTTCTTTCTTTGCGTGAACGTTTGGGCGGCGTTATGCAAATCTTCTCACATCGTGACGTAGACATGTGGGGTGTGTTAGAACGAGCCGTTTTAGGTAGGTGTGGCTGACTCTTAACTTTTATAAAGAATATCTCTTTGGATTTGAGCCTTTAGTCTTTGCAACTTTACAGATCTTCTTTATGCACCAAGAGCTTGTAACACTCCAAAGAGAAAGGAAAAATTGAAATCGCATCATATGACCCCTTTAAGATAAATAACAATAATAACACATTGTCCTAATGTAATCCATTGAATTTAACTAGAATTTAGATTGTGTGCAAACAAATTGCAATGAGGTGGCTGTTTTGCAACGAGGTGGAGACTGTTCTGTTCATAACAGTAGACCTGCTGGTAAAGAAGTGACAGGTACAAGAAAAATAGCCAAAAAATATATAAAATAAAAAATGTACACACATAAACAGAAGGGAGAAAACGCGATATCAAAGAAAACAAAGAAACGGAAAAGGGAAGTGAAGGTGCTGTTCAAGAGAGAACCTTTAATTATTTTGCATGGCCTGAGCCTTAGGATTTAGACATTTTTATGTGATGGCCATACAAATAATAGGGTTGTCTCTGTGGTTTCAAAATTTGTTGTGGGTGTATGATGAGTGTGAGATTTCTAAATTGAATAACTCTGCGCGCTGAAAAGACCGAACACGCAAGTGACCTTCATCCACCACTGGATACCTTCCTTGGGCCAAGTGTGTGGACCTTACAACAGTGAACACGAACAAATGATAATGTGAATCACATTTGTACTCTTACAAGTGATCAATTGTCTAATCTTATATGTTTTTCTTGTGCGAGGATGTGTAAATGATTTACATTTGACATACTTAGTGCAGGAAGTACAATTGTAACATGGAAAATTACCCTGGGCATCGACAAGAGTAGTCAGAGAAGAAATGTAGGTATCAGCATGAACAAGCGTATTCCTCAAACTAGAGCTCCTGGAAGAGACAAAGAGTGGTTGATCATTGAAGACATTATAGCTGAGGATCGCTTTGGATGATGTGCCAGTGACCTGATAATCCTCCTAATGTTATTACTCAGTGGACTATATGTGGGTTTAAAAATACAAGAAAAGTTCTTAGTTCTTTTATTTGTAATCAAATTACTTTCCTCCTGTTTTTGTAAATTGTAAACTTTCTCAAGTGCAGTATCAGGCCACTTATTAGGCTATCCCCGTGATTTAAAGTCCATATACAGCTTCTGGGCTCTAGCCTCAAAATCCTCTTTCTTAGAACAAATACGATGGAGTCTCAAAAACTGGCTATAAGGTAATCCGCGTTTTAAGGGCATTGGGTGAGCACTCTTAAAATGAAGAAGACTGTTCTTGGCTGTTTCTTTTCTATAAAGAGAAGACACTATTTGATTATTCACAATTGATCGTGTCCAAGAAATTAACATTAGTGATACCCTCATGATATGTACATTTGATGGAAGGCCTAAGACAGTTCATATATCGAGCAAATGCTTCAAAGTCACTTTCAGAGCCTTTGTAAATGACAAAGCAGTCAAGTCAAGACCTTAACATCTTAAATGAGGTAAGACCCTAAGACCACGATAAGACCTTAAAGTAAGGTGGGGTAAGACCACTTTAAAACCGTCTTAAAGGGTTTAAGGAATCTCAATCAGATTAGGTTTTAACATAACAAATATATATATATGTGTCCATCTCACTGAAGTGCAAATAGTTGAATATATATATATATATATATATATATATAATTTCAGAT